TTTGAATAACATACAAAACCTTTAAAAATCCGTTAACTCGTTGTTGTCTGGCCATGTCTGCATCCATTATACTCCTTATTGCACTCATGAAATTGCTTTCTCCACGCCGACTCTTTAAGTACTTATAATTATTGATTTGATTTTGGTTTGTTGCAATTTGTTGGTAGGCCGCTGACACCCGCAAGCAGTGACCCATTAATGTTGGCCCTGCTGTAGTTTGTCGGAATCACGGGTAAAAAGTCCGGACTTGGAGATAGGGAGGGCCAAAGGGCCCAAATATGCTCAAAAAATTCGCATATTATGCTTTTCGCATATTGGCCACTTGCTTCAAAATATGCTTCGAAATCACACAAAAGCAGAAAAATATGCTCGGAATATGCTCGAAATATGCTCGAAATATGAACTGATATCAGTTATAATTATGCGAATTCTTTGCTCCTTGTAGCAAAATATGCTACATTTGGTACAATATGCCCATGGCGACTTGTCCCCTTGGAAAATCGCGATTCTGCGGCCGCGATAAATTTCGCGGGTTTCCGCTAGGGAGGGCCCAAATATGCTCAAAAATTTCGCATATTATGCTTTCGCATATTGGCCACTTGCTTCAAAATATGCTTCGAAATATGCTCGAAATATGCTCGAAATATGAACTGATATCAGTGATAACTGTGCGAATTCTTTGCTCCTTGTAGCAAAATATGCTACATTTGGTACAATATGCTAGATTTGCTACTTAATGCGACCTTGAGTCGCGGACACTCTCTTTTCGGGTCAAAATTTCGCCCCGTGTTTGGATGAGCATTTTTCCTTCCGGGCTAAGTTTGGAAGTGTTCCCTGACCGAGCGTGCCGTGGTAAGTTTCCTTGTCCATTCCCGCAATCTGCCCTATAATTATGTGAATTTTTTTTCTTTTTTTTTCTACAAAATCCACATATCTCCAGACACTGGGGTGAATGATGGAGTGTGGTGGTGGGGCCCATTAAGCTCCGCCGACCAGAGGTCTCGGCTTCATAGCTCCATGGACGCACCAAAGGGATATTGGGTAGGTAGGATTAAATTGAGAAAGAAAACAGAAGAAAGAATATGGAAAGATTGTATTGCTCAGTGAGCAAAAGAATAAGTTGAGTACATGTATTGATGTGAACGCTGTTAGACTTTTAAATTCAAGAGGAGACTGTCTGTGATGAGAAATTCTTCGCTCCTTGTAGCAAAATATGCTACATTTGGTGGGATTTGCTACTTTATGCGACCTTGTGTCAAAAGGACCAAATATGCGAAAATATGCGCAAGCATATTACCGCGAATCTAGCATTTACCGTGGAAAACGTGCAATTTTCTTCATTTTGACTAAATTTTCAGTGAATCCATGCCATGAGCCCATGCTATGGGCCACACTGTACAGACTTTGATGCGTGGTGTGTTCTGTGCGCTTAGCTTGTGTAATTGGTGTATGCGGAGCGTGGGGCTGCGAATATGTGTCCCCAGGGCCGAACTTTGACATTGCACTGTTCTTCGCGCTTCGAAATTCCTTGCTATAGTCCATTTCAAAAAGATTAGCAATCAGGTTTTGGTCTTAAAAAGTATGAAGATAAGGGAAATTTGGACAACAAAGTACATAGAATGGCTTGTTAGGACACGGCAAATTGTTCTGTGAAGGTTTCGGAACAATTGGACCAGCCGTTAAGGAGTTAGAATTTCGGCCAGGTTTCCGGCTTTTTCCCATGGTTTACAATTTGCCCTGGATGTCAGTATCGATTTTTTATCAAAACCCACGATTTATCCTTTCCTTTTTGGCCTTGTGGTTATGAATGCTGTCTGCTGACCATGAAGCTGTGATTCAAATCCCAAACTATTTTCAAGTCAAACTTTTTTCATTGTTTTGGTGGTCACGCTGGTACAAAAAGTACAAGCCAAAGAAGGACTGGGTGGCTGCGCCAAACGATTTGTTGTTGTTGGAGCTCGCGTTTCCTGCCGAACAAAGACACTTGTGAACACACCCACAACACTGAAACGGTGCGAGTGAACACGGAAGTCATTGCGCTGTAGCTACGTGTTGTTGAATACAACGGCACATCGATCGATCGATTTCTCTTTGAGAATTATTTTAGTATTTCAAGATCGCCAATTTATTTGAATGTAGGAGTCAACAGCTTTCACAGGCGTCTGCTTTTCTCAAAATGTCGTCGAAGTCACACGGATAGCTTTGCCAAGTCATGGCCTTGGGAATGAGTCTGTGTCGATGTCGTTTTCGTCACATCGTGAGAGTAAATTGCATCGCAGCTCAAAGAAATTGGGCACGAAACGAATTGGGACCCATCCCGCTCGTCAACATTTACCACACTTTCGACATGTCCTGAGCCTCTCTGTCCATATCGATACGAGGAAGAACTCGTTTGTTGTAAACCAGACGTACCGGTACATGTACCGACGTGAGTGAGTTGTCATTTTTCATGCTTTCGCGCGGATTATTTCTTCGAGTTCACAGTGAGTTTTTCCAGCCAGCTCTCGAGCGCGCATACGGTAAGACGGCAAACTCCCCGGGCGATCGCCAGGATTGCTAATCTTTTTGAAACTGACTGTAGATCCTCTGTTCAGGTTTTGTGGTCCATACGTATCATCGCAAGAACTGCAGTTTCCGCAAAATTACTATATCTGGCCTAGGCCTCGACCAAATATGCTAAAAAAAAGAGCATATTATGCTCGTCGCATATCAGGGAAAACGGCCACAATATGCCCAAGGTTTAGCAAGATATGCAAAAAGATATGCAAAAATATGCCAAAATATGCTCGACATAAACAGAAAGTGTAGATCATTTCAGTAAAATTACAACCTTGGAATATTTATTGGCTTCACGGATATCATGCTCATGATGCAAACCAAAACACATGCAGAATAGTATGGCTGGGGTGTGTCCCCAGCAACCGTAGCGATAGTGTTCATCCATGGGGAAATGTAGCAAACGCCTCAACCATTCCAAGTCATCCATAAAAGGCATTTCTGAACGCATTATGTCCATAATATGAATGTTTTGTCTTCATTTTCTTCAGAATATTTTAATTATATGCTGGCTTCATTCCAATATTCCCTTTGTCGCTCAATATGCCATAATTATATGAACTGTCTCACAAATGTATGCGGAAATATGCGCAAGCATATTTGGTCGAGGCCTAATCTGGCCCACATTTTTCGCTCTTTTCGCCCCACAAATTCCGGAATTTTTTCCCGTGATTTTCCAGGGGGACAGTATAATAATCAGTGTGGCTCTTTTTTTGTGCACGATCTCAACTGTCAAATCCTATAGGATTTTCTTCAATACGTCAATGTCTTCAATCATGATCATGCCACCGATAAGTAAGTTGTACGCCTAAATTGAATTGTAAGGTGTTAGGGCAGCATCAGTTGCTCTCTTCAGAAGGTTTCAAGAGTGCCAGTTTTATCACTTGACTTATAGAGACGTTTTAGGGAGGACATGTCTGTGTTTTGACAGATTACATAGGATTTGAGTGTTCTGAATTATCCAGAGTGTTGTAAATTGTAATGCATGCAGATGATGGTAGAAGTGGCAGGGAAAGGCCTTTCAAAGCAATATTAGAAGCGATCGGTACACTGAATAACTGTACAAAAATACCATGCACACCACTTGACTACAAATAATATACCATGAATAGAAGTCTGTGATTAACTGAGGAGTACTTCCACAGGTTGACACATCTAGTACTTTTCGGAAGTTTCACCCGGAAAATTGGTTCGAAATTTCCATGGGAGTGCATCGAAAACAGTTCCAAACACCTCATGAAACCCATGTCATCAATTCGTATCTCTTAATTTGCTGGCCAAAAATCCTATATAATATAAAGGAAAATCCTATATAATATATAGGATTTTTACATTTTCAAATCCTATATTATAGGATTTGAAAATGTGTGCCTTTTATGCCGTTGTTATTGGTCATCACGACCAATAATAACGGCATAATGGTTTTCATGGAAGTTGTAAAATATGTTTGAGGCATGAATTTTTACATTTTAGATTCATAGGGCGATAATATTTCTGATGAATACCCATTTTCAGCAATAATTGAAAATTTGAGCATAATTGTTCAGCTGCTGTCATGGAAAGGACGGAAGCAGTGAATGTGCAGAAGAACATTGCAGGTGTGGCACGGGGTGGTTTCTTGACGACATATCGCACATGCCGTCATGAAACTACCAGTTTTAAGGATAAAACAAGGTCCAATAAAATCTCAAATCCTATTATATAGGAATCGTAAAATAGGGCACAGGCCTTAGTAATATTGGGCAAGGAGATGAGCCGGAGATGTTAGTGTTTGAAAAAATTATCTTATTCAACTCTCGATATCTACTAAGACCTAGCAAGGAAGAATTGGTCACATACTTTTTGCTATTCTCATGCCACACCCATTTTGAGTTGAAAAATATGACCAAAATCCTGTATATACATGTATACATGTAGGATTTAGCAAATTAAGAGATAGGTTTGTATAGGTTTGTATAGGTTGTTTATCAAAATCCTTTACCCAGAAATCAAATCCTATAATTATATACATGTAGGACAGTCTAAGAGATATAACCAGCTGGAGGAGGAAATCAGGGTGGTCACTGTCAGTCTTGCAGCTGCCAATGGCCAGAAAGGTGAGAAATTGTCAGAGAAAAGTTGCGACTCAAGGGCAAAAAGCGCCAAACTTGGACATTGTTATTTTCAGCTCCGTTATGCTCCAGCTCGCTCCGGCACGCACTAGCTCACTCTGGTCCCTACGACTCGCTCTGGTCCCTACGACTCACTCTGGTCCCTACAACTCGCTCTGGCCCCTATGACTCGCTCTGGCCCCTACGACTCGCTCTGGCCCCTACGACTCACTCTGGCACCCGCTACAATTCAAATTCAAATTCTTATCGATCATATGCGATCGATATTCCCCGCACCCGCTCGCACCTGCACAAACCAGCTTACACTGACTCGCTCCAGCTCGCCCTAGCTACTACAGTTTTCGCTGTGGCCAGTCAGATATGGATGAAGAAGTCAAGACAATGTGAAAGATAAATAATAGAAAGCTTCGACAGAAGTAAGTTCATGGAGATGGTTGGAAAACACAATATTATTCAAAAGGCTAAACCTGATGAATAAGACAAGATAAGCACAACACACAGTCATGGTTTTAAAGCTAAAAATCCGTAAAACGTCACAGAAGTAGGGCGGTGTAAAGACATGGTCAGTGGAATACAGTCATACAGGCAGAACAGATAAACCACACCCACACCTGCACACCCCCCCCCCCCCACACACACACTCAAGCACCTACATGAACATAAGAACATAGTCATTTGTGACAATGTGTTGCATAGCTAGCATAGCACATGGGTTGCAGCAGACAGGATACTGCTGACAAGAACAAGACAAGCACACGCAAACACAGACAACAGGTGGCGTAGTCCCCAGAGGCAACATGCAACAGTGATTATGGAGTAAAGAGCAGATGCCGCTTGCTGCAGCTACTGTTGCTGCTGCGACGGCATTAGGGTGAAAACACGGTCAGTTGTTGTCGTCATCATCAGAGTGGAATGAGATGGCGACCTGGAGGGTGATAGCGCTGCTGCTGCAGCCGGTGCAAAGGAAGGTCCAGGATTATACATTACCCGATGGCATGTTGTGCTCTGACGAAAATATGCCTGTTGTTGTTGTTGTTGTTGTTGTTGGTGTTGCTGCTGCTGTTGCCAAAGCATTTCCGGAAATGGACCACGAAACACACCCAACTGTAAGTTGGTACTGGAATGGTGAGGAGCCGCACCATTCTCTAATCGCAACATTGCATTTGCTGGAAGACGTGCTGCCTGGCTGGCTAATGAAGGTCGCGCCCATAGATTCTCCCTTCCCATGTTTGCATGATTAGTAAATCCAGGTGGTCCAGGCTGACGGGGGGGTCCAAGCGGTGGACGATGCATGGCGGCATGTGGAGGTGTGCCGCCGCCGCCAGGTAAGGGTAGAAGAGCATTACTGTTACTCATGCCGTTGTTATGGTAACGGTGGTGCTGCTGCTGCGGATGCTGATGACGCTGAGCCGGTGATGGTGGTGGCGTTATGCCAGGCGCTGCTAGAGCGCGCTGAGATTGCTGATGATGAGGATTCCCAGGCGCTGGTAGAGATTGCTGATGATGAGGATTCTTGATAGCAGCAATTTGTGCGTAAAAATTAAAATCAGGTGGTAGTGGCTCTACCGGTGGTAGGTATGGCGGGCATTCAATAGCCGATGTTACCATATGGTCATCATCATCTCCACTAACGCCAGCTACTGTCTCTTCCTCCCGTACCATCGTTGATGGTGACAAGAGCGATGGTGATCCACAAGGATGATTGTTAACACCACTGCCCTGTCGTCGTTGTTGTTGTTGGCACATATAGGATGGAGACGCAGCACCACCACTTTCAGCGGAAGACCACTGTGTGGTTTGTTGTGTTACATCATCTGACACAAGGTCAGCAGTTACTATCGATCGTCCATTGCTGCTGGCAGGAGCAATTGTTGGCTGCGATTGCAATTTCACTTGCATGGAAAGTGGTGGCCTGAACGGATGCGCACTGATATCTAGACTAGTTGTACCATTAATAGTCTGCTCCTCACCATGATTCAACAAACGTGCTGCCGATGGCGCTGCTACTCCTGTTGGCGCTGCCGGTGTTATTGCTGCTGGCGCTGCTGGTGTTATTGCTGCTGGCGCGACAGTTACAGTGGCATTGCTGACCACTGACGATACAGTAGTTGCTTCAACAGCATTGGCGTCGCCGGTGCTGCTGTTTAAGCTGTAGCCAGTTGCTACTTGTGCTTCTGCTGACATTGATAAAGCAGTTCGCTTAGAAGGCGACGATGATATTGCCAAAGCATTCATACCACCAACAACACCTATGGACAATGACAAGAGTAGCATCAGAAATAACAACGTATCTTACAAATACCTAAAGCCGTGCCTGCGCCTCGGTTTTTATAAGCCATAAAACCTCAGGCGTGTCCTATATTCCATACATAAACACGACACCGGTGTTCATTCTATACAATCAGATCAACTCTTCTTCTGTCTATTAACTTAGTAGTCTTCTGTCTATTGATAGAATTAGTAATAACTAGGGGTGAAACGATTATACCGAATACTCAAAATAGAAATCGTTACAAGCTAACGAATCGATTATTCGAAAGGTTTTGATTACTCAATTATGCATACAGTATACATATGTATCACTCTCTTATTATTGACCACCACAGAAACTTGTGATCTCTAAGCGGTCAAATATCAGCATTATATTGACCGCTTATATTGACCACTTATATCTAGGGGTGAAACGAACAAGGAATTTCGTATACGAACGAACTTCAACACTAACGAACGAACTCGAACGAATATTCTCTAATGAATGTAGTTACCAAGACAGTATAGCCGTGTGTCCACTCGATTTATATTTGCAGAATTCATAAAGTTGTGATGGTAAATAAACCCTGTAATGCGTGACTGTGTGTTCATCGTATAATACAGTACTTGTGGATAACATTTGATGTTGCAAAAACAACGGAAGAAAGAAAGTGCAGATTGGAGAGGCACAGTTCCAGTTCCACCGACATCGGTAGCGATTGCAGCTACTGAAGATCTGGAACTGGCAGCAGAGTGGCAGGACAGCAGGTGCCAAGACCTCAACAACCTCCTCTTCCAAAACTTCATCAAGCTCAACTACAGCAGCCTGCTTGACGGCTACTCGCCCTGCAGCTGGCCCTTGTGCGCTCCTAAGCCGCTGGTTCTGTTGGAGGAAGATCAGTGCGTCGATATTCACTGGTGACAGTGCCGACCGGAGCTTGGACACGATGTGCCCTGCTGCCGAAAACACCCGCTCGGACGGCACAGAAGTCGCAGGGACACACAAGACTTGCCTAGCCACCTGGCTTAGCACGCTGAACCGGGACCCGTGCATGCGCCACCAGCTCAACGGATCCATGGATGAAGGTGCCGCCTTCTCGCCGAAGAACCAACCTCTATGTAGTGCTGCGACGGCAGAACTTCACATCACGTGACATGGTTCAAAAGGTTACACAGGCAAACAGGGCAAAGTGATCACAAGAGAGTTGTACCCAAAGCTGGGTTGCGTACAACCCTGTATCAATCATGCATAGAGTGCAAATAATGTGTACAGGTTCATCACATGATGTGAAGTTCTGCTGTCACAGACCCCATAGCTGGACTTGCACACTCTTGGGGGTGATGTACTTTTGCTTATATCAAGAGTACATAACCCCCCAGAGTGTGCAACGCCGATCCAGCTCTGTGTAGGGTCTTGGTCGAGCGGAATCGGATCTTCTGATGTCATGCGTACACTTCACACCAGCGCAAGGCCTGTCTCGAGGCAGGGCACCATTGTTTTTGATCCAAGAGTACCCGCGACTCCCCGGGTTCCCCTCAGATGTGTACGGTATTATGACGCAAAGATCCGATTCCGCTCGACCAAGACCCTATGCAGAGCTGGAGCAGGCGTTGCACACTCTGGGGGGTTATGTACTCTTGCTTATATTGACCACTTAGCCCGAGGACTTAGAACTTTGTCCTCAACTTAACGGGAAACCCATCGCGCAACGGGTTTCCCGTACGCGAAATAGTTGAGGTCAGATCAACTTTTTCGCGACGCGACGCGTTTCCCGTACGCGACATGAAGTATGAATCGGCCTTTAGAAAAAAATCAGAAATGAAAGAAGAAAAATCTGAAGCCAAATGTTGGGATTTGAACCCAAACTGTCAGATTCTCAGTTAAAGAACTTAGGGAACATACTACAAGTGACAACTGAAAACTTCTGTTTACAGAGAAATATATTGACCTTTGATAAATACCCACACTCATTAGTGACCACACCATCAATAGTATCAAATTCATATAAACTTGCTTGACTCAATAAATACCACTGTACTTTTCCATGCAGCACTGCACTTTTCCCTAAAAAGGAGTATTTTATAAACAGTATTTATTGGCCTTAGTGGTATTTTATAAACAGTATTTATTGGCTTTTGGCCATATAAATACTGTTTATAAAATACTCCTTTTTAGGGAAAGCGAAGGTCAACATATGCATAATAAATGTAGTAGCCTCAGGATTTATTGCAATTACATACCAGTTATAAAAACCTCGGGGGACCTCGGTTTTTATACTGGTATGTAATTGCAATAAATCCTTCGGCTCTACATTTATTATAATACGTAATGCCCAATGTAAACGGCATATACTATTACAATAGTATTCCTTTCTTCCTATAACAAAGCAAAAACAGTTCAGGTACCGTAAAGTCAGTCTTGTATAAAAGCCGCGGCTTCTGTGACTTTCTTGGTGAAATTTTGCAGGCTTCTACATGAGACAGGCTTCTATACAAGACAGGTATTTCTATGTATGTCAACACTAAAACCAGGCTTATGTGTCATAAGCCTTAGTCGCCAATGGCTCACAGAGCTCGAACCGGTCATAGACCACACTCTCGGGCAGTGGGCCCTGAGAGTCAACAACACCAAAACTGAGTGGACAGAGCTGGGTCGGTCTGTAGACAGAATTGACGAGCGCTGGAGGACACCCCGAAAGCTGGGCTCACTCCTGGGCGACATTGAGGGTGTGACACGTCGCAGGCAATTGGGCGAGGCTGCCTTCCGATCCATGCGGTCTCTTTGGAAGCGCCGAGGACTTATCCGAGAGCCTCTGCGTATGAGGTTGTACTGCGCCTTTATCATGCCGATACTTCTCTATAATTCAGGCACCTGGGGCCTGACGGTTGCTAGCAAACGCTCCCTGGACGCTTTCCATAGAAGGCAGCTCAGGTCACTTCTCGGCATCACATGGCCACAGAAGATTAGTAATCTGGCGTTGTATGCCCGATGTGGAGTGGAGCCAGTATCGGACTTAATCCGAAATTCACGCTGGAGTCTATTCGGGCATGTGCTTCGCCTGGGTAAGGACACGCCAGCACGATTGAGCATGGAGCAATACTTTCAGGCACCCGAGGGGAGGTACCGTGGGAGGCCGAGGGTGACACTACCAATAAAGCTCCACACCGATCTGTGCCAGTCGAACAATGGGCACCTGCGGAGTGTTGAGGACTTGCGCCGTCTGGAGCGGATTGCTGTGGACCGTCCAGCATGAAACGCGCTGGTGAAGAGTGTTTGTGCACACCCTCGTCACGAGTAGAAACAGCCATGGCACCCGTATAAACTCATAACAACCATTCTATAATAATATTACTATTTGAATCTTACGAAGTAGTGGTTGCGACTTCGGCGATGATTTGTAAGAAAGGGTTTGCTCCCCACACCGGAGCTCGCGCTATTCCGCCGACTTTACTTGACACTTGACTGACTCACGACTGCCATCCAGAGCACACGAGAAGTTCATCGAACCTTCGACTCGGCAAACCTGCAAGAAGGCACCACTCCCTGCTCAATACACAGTGTTTCGGGGAATTCACCCCTCATCAGTTGAGCCTGAGTAGGCTGAGGAAGATTGTGCCTGAAGAGCACCACTTATATAGTGCTCTCCAGGCACAAACATCACCAGGGATGCAAACTTACAGAGACGCTCCGTTTCCAGCGCGACAAACACCTCGTGAACACCAGATAGCAGCGTGAGTCAGTGTCGCTCCTGGACGGTGAGACAGACATCGAGGACCCTCGGTCATTCGCAACGCTGTCACCTCCAAACCAACTAGTGGCAAGCCCGCGCTGGGCACAACAGTACGAAGTAGTGGTTGCGACTTCGACGATGATTTGTAAGAAAGGGTTTGCTCCCCACACCGGAGCTCGCGCTATTCCGCCGACTTTACTTGACGAGTCGAAGGTTCGATGGACTTCTCGTGTACTCTGGATGGCAGTCGTGAGTCAGTCAAGTGTCAAGTAAAGTCGGCGGAATAGCGCGAGCTCCGGTGTGGGGAGCAAACCCTTTCTTATTTGAATCTTTTAATTATTATCTGGCAACTCAACCTCATACGTATAATTATCTGGCTACCTATTGACCATGATGCTACACGAGGAGACAATAATGATGACATTTTTCCAATGAGACCAATTTATGACGCTCCATGTTACTGAAGGACTACTGTAAGACATGTATATATAACGAGGAAGCAAATCTAACGTTTTAACGGATGACATTTCTTCGTTATAATAAGATCCGTTGAGGCCGTACTGCTTCATATATGCTGTGTGTGGATATGGCAGAATACTGCAAGATCGTTAACATATCTTCTCGTTAACCTATGAATTTTGGACAATCGTTAAATTTGCGACTCGTTATAATAACATGTCTTACAGTAACTTCGATCATTGGTTTTGTAGAGCCCCATTCTCTAGGAGCTGTCTACATCTGCTTTGTCCAGCATAAGCGAACGTGTGGATCAAGCATAACTGCTTGGTTGACGCTGCCGCGGGAATGCGTACAATAATAACAATATGTGTGATTTGATGGGCCCAAAATTGCGGCTTCTATTCAAGTGCGGCTTTTATACAAGTGCGGCTTTTATACAAGACTTTACGGTATGCTATGTCGTGATAAATCTATTATTGCCCTCATAATCGGTCAATATATGAAATATAGACCTCGTAAAAGACCTCAGTCTTTTACTCGTTTACCTCTTTAATCGTGCAATAATAGATACATACAATAATGTCCTTGCCTTGATAGTAGGGAGGTTTAGTTCTCACGTAACGGAAACGCGTACGTGGGTGATACACGTAAAGTGGATGAAGGGCACCCACGTTGCAATGTGCGTTTAGTCACACGTAATGAAAACTTGTGAAATCTTTGAAGATGGAAACGGCATTTATGTGAGCGGGAAAGTTTTGAACGTTTGAAAACAGATTCGAAGTCGACACCACGACAAAAGTAAATAGTTATTTTGGTCAATGGTTCTTGCATGTTCTTGTAGCATAAATGGAAGAACGGGGGTAAAACTGTGTGGCGAAAAATAGAAGACCGGGGTCAAACTGGGTTGAAAGAATAAAAGACCGTTCTCAATTATAAGGCCGGGTTAGGACGAGTTAAAAAAAATAGTAGACCGGCCTACTATTTGCGGAAATACGGTATGTCATCTCTAAGCGAAAAAACGCACAGTATTCTTCGTTGGGGTATCTTGGGCGTACTGACCACAACCACATCCTCAACATCAGCCATGACGAAGAAAAGTGAGAGGAAAGATTCAACGACTGCACGAAACTACAAAAATTGTAAGCGGGGCGAAAGTGAAACTCGCCCACGTAACAAAAAAAGTCGTTCCACACTTAGTTTTATTTCCGGTGATCTAAATCCGCTAGATTTGAGCACACGCACAACCAGCGCAATGTGCTGCACTTTCATTTTCACTCGCGTACTGGCCGAACGTGGGTGAGCCTCCATACACGGCATATCGTGAATCAGAAAACGTCCGTACGTGGGTGACTGAGTATCACGTGGTACACCCACGTAAAGTACACACGGATTACGTGGGACTAAACCTCCCTAGTGTGCTTGTGCTTACCTGTTGCTGACGGCCGAATTCATGGTTGCCTGTGGAGCACATTACATCACTTTGCAGTCTCCTATAATACGCATCCTGTCCGACGGCAAAAGAGGCTGCAGATTTAGTTTTTGTGCACGTTATCAGCAATGACTACTGATCTTCAGCAACTTGGGTCTCCTATAATACGCATCCTGTCTATGCTTTTGTAATGCTAACATAATGCTCGGGATAGCACTCGCTACTGATCATCAGAAACTTGGCTTGACTATCACTCACTCACAATAAGACTGTTGTAATGTTCATCGTTCCCAAGCGGTCGCTGGTTTCTCCCACAATTTCATCGTACTGTTGTACGACATGCTATACGACATCCTTATACCGTACAACACCGTATTGATGTCTGGCTGGCTGTCTTTGATGGTACGGTATGGGACAGGTACGGGATAGCGGCAGGCATGCCGATGGCACAAACAAACACGGAATTAAAGCTGTGTGGACCCTGGCTAGCGCCAGCCGTTCCTGAAGTAACGTCTTTTGCATAGCTACGGGAATAAAATGATACCCGTGCAGGCTCATGTCACAAAACAAAGTAGCAGTAGTATAGTTGCAGAACGTTTTCTTGTCACGTTTATGAATGGAAACTTGGGACTGGCAGAAAATAGATAGCCAGCAGTAGGATATATACAGTCAACTCCGCTAAGAACGACTGCGGATATAACGACAATTCGCTAATAACGACTGCAGCGGATATGACAATTCGCTAATAACGACTGCGGATATGACCACAATTCGCTAATAACGACTGCGGATATAACCACAATTCGCTAATAACGACTGCGGATATGACGACAATTCGCTAATAACGACTGCGGATATGACCACAATTCGCGAATAACGACAGAATTTCCATGCCCAGAGCAAAGTCCCATCTACCTGTATACATATAACGAGACTTCGGGTATAACGACACTTCGCGAATAAGGATATTTTTTCTGATGCCCGGTAGAGTGTCGTTATACGCAAAGTTGACTGTACAGTTGAGTTGAAGTTGCAGCGTGCACAAAAGGAATTACAAATACGTGACAACTATTGTTGGGCCTTAGGCTTTACATTTAGGGGTCGTCGCAAACGTTTTCTGTCGTCCCTGAAACGAACATCATTCATTTCGTACTTGGACCCCCTCCCCTCCCTCTGAAACGAACACAGCTTGCTATGCTGGACGACGAAAATCGCACTCAAGTACATGTCAGAATTTATGTACAGTGTCGGTCGACTTTAATACTGCATGCCTGAGTACACGAGTACATGCAGAAAATGGTCAATTTCAGCGTTGCTGCTCCAAACAGCAACTAGCTTCGACTAGCTACACAGATTACACCAAAGGATCAAACAACAACCATTTTCTTCAGGTTTTTTTGGCAGAAGGCTTTCTTGTGCTTGGCCAACCAGGCCAAAAATCACACCTCGGAGGACTACAAAAACTACAACTCTCAGATGTCCTAGATTGCTGGCCATGCGTGTGCATTTTCGTTTTGAACAACCTCTCTATTCTCAGGTTGCACCTTCTTCCCCAATTACAATGATAATACGCAGCAGTCATATGTAGGGAAGTTTCCTGCTGCTTATCTGCACCACTCTCTGATTTGAACTACACATGGAAAACAATGAAAACTATGCTGTTTGTGCTGCATGTGTACTGTGTGTACTGTGTGTACTGTGTGTGCTGCATGTGTACTGTGTGTACTGTGTGTACTGTGTGTACTGCATGTGTGCTGCATGTGTACTGTGTGTACTGCATGTGTGCTGCATGTGTACTGTGTGTACTGCATGTGTACTGTGTGTACTGTGTGTGCTGCATGTGTTGCTACAAGAGTCCATTCTATTGACACGTACCATTGGAAAGGCATTTGTTGGTGTGGGTGAGCAGAATGCCGCGTCCAATTGAACGTCCTCTCCCCAGGACCGTCGTCTGCTTGTCAGAACAACGTAGATGTAGAGGGATGGACGATGATAATGATGGTGACGTCACTGATGAAGCAGAGGAGACTAGAGTCGATGGAGAAGATAAGATGTTGCTTGTGGGGTGTTGACAAGTGGACCAGGCTGAAGGTGCTTCACTGGATACTGCTGCAAATGTTGGTGATGCTGCTGAGCTTGTAGCGCATGCCGCCATGACTGGGGAGTAGTCAGTGGCAGGAAGTACTTCTACAATGTCAGCTGCGCTTGACACGGTATCACCACCAAAAGCAGTCATTGGTGGAGCTACGCTTGATGTAGATGGGGAGTCAGTTGACGAGACGCTACATGCTCCAGACTGCAATGTACCACTACCGCTACCACCACTACTACTACCTGCAGCTGCTACTGGTGATGATTGAGTTAGTTTAGTGGACTGAGAAGCAAAGGTGAAAGCACATACTGCTGCAGGTTTTGTACTGAATCCAGGAGGTTGTATAGGAGTAGAGGAGGATGGCATAGCAGAGTGTTGACTTGATGGATGGACGGATGTCTGTGCCAAAGACTGAAAAGGACCTGATTGCTGGTATTGTGCAGTAGATGAAGATCGAGACGCTGTCACAGTAGTTCCTACAGCAGTGACTGTGGCTGCTTCAAGGGCAGCAGCAGCAGCACGTTTCTTCTTGTCAGCTCGCATTCCATCGCGTCTCTTTACAGACACATCAATGACAGCTTCAAGTGACTTCATCTCTTCAACAATCTCCGTACTGAACGTAACTTTCATAGAATCCAGTAGACGACCACTGTAAAACACACCGCCACACAAAAATGCCGGCATGCACGTGTACACACACACACACACACACACACACACACACACACACACACACACACACACACACCACACACACACACACATATATTAGGAACACTGCCACTAGATAACATTATCATCCAACATATCTGCAAAATACAGATTCAACAGGCAGCAGAGCCAGCAGTCTACATGTAGTAGTAGTAGTAGTAGTAGCAGCAGCAGCAGCAGCAGCAGCAGCAGCAGCAGCAGCAGCAGCAGCAGCAGCAGCAGCAGCAGCAGCAGCAGCAGCAGCAGTAGTAGTAGTTAGTGTTAAAACGATCTCACCGGATACTCGTTAGCTCGCTCGACAGAAACTCGGCTCGTTTGTGCGGCCAGCTCGTTTGCACTAACGAACACCGTACACCGTACCCCGTACACATGACAGTACATATGTACATGTCGACCGGGAAGTCGTAAAATATTTTACGACTCCCTGGTCGATCGAGAGTCCAGTCCCGCGCAAAGTGAAAATCACTCGCAGTTACAGTGACTGTATGCCTGCACGACACTTGAGTTGTTTCAGTTGTCGTTGCAGCTTTGGTGGACTCTGCTGATGTCTTGTTCCGCATCTGCTGACCTGTCGCAGGATATGCTTCGGTCACCTCTCCATTCGAGTGAAAGTTACGCATAGTCGTTTGGAAGTTTTCTCCCGTGACGCAGCGAAGACCAGGGCTACTTGCTATCTTTGCAAAACGGTCTATTCTTACAAAGGCTACTCGACGACGGCGCTGAAAAAACATCTCGACACCAAACAGCAGTCCGAAGTGAAGCAGGAGCAACCCCAAATGCCGGCGGTGATAATTATTATTATTTGAACCAGCTGAAACAAATCGAACTTAGAAAAAATTATATTCAAAAAATCATATGTTGTCACATCAATGAAACTCGTCAGCTCGCTCGATAGCTTGCTCGTTAGGCCTCGGTCACACTACGGCAGTTTGAAGCTGGACGCAGCGTCAAGCCGCAGCACTTGACGGAGACGTGGGGTCACACAGTGTTTCGTTTTTTTTTGCAGCTCACGACTGCCGCGGCTTGACGCATTGGTCTACGTCACAAAACCACCAGGAAAACTCAATGACGACACGGATTCCCACGGAAACCGGCCTTTTACTTATTATACAAAAAAATTGTCGGACAAAGTTTTCGAATTTTTCATTGATTTTTGATTACAAGAAGACGAAAGGTCCACGCGTGCACGATCGTTGTTGTTTCTTTCCGAATTTAAAGCCATTTTCAGTTGTAGTGTCATTGATCAGGCAAGAAAAGTCCGCATCGCAGCTGTGTTTCTCCTGACTTCGTCATACTGGTCGTCCTTTTTGGGGCTCTTGACGACAACACAACACTCACAAGTCAACAGGCTCCAGTTGGCCGATGACCCACTCAAACAACTGGTCCTTTCTCGACATCATTTTCTTCTCAGAAAACGCCTAGCTCTTCCGCCAGGTTCGGAGCAGAGCAGCCTCGGCCTCGTAGGTCCACGGACTCATCTCGAACAAAAAGAGGGAACAAAACAAACCTTGAACAGACGAATGTCGAATAACTGCTCAACTCAAGCAAAGACAAATGTCTTGAAACTAATTTTACTTGAAAGACACTGTTTTTCCGCCAAGCGTCACTCCTACCAGCGGCAACACAGCCGATTTCCCCACGTCAGACGCAGCAGCGTCTGACGCTCAAACTTCCCGCCTTGCGTCAGTTGCCATGGAAAAGCTCATGATTCTGACGCTGACGCAGCATTTTTGCCGTAGTGTGACCGAGGCCTTAGTGGAACTGATCGCTCGTTTGCTATAGATACGCTCGTTTCAACACTAGTAGTAGTAGTAGTAGTAGTAGTAGTAGTAGTAGTAGTAGTAGTAGTAGTAGTAGTAGTAGTAGTAGTAGTAGTAGTAGTAGTAGTAGTAGTAGTGTTGGCGGACACTGCCGCGATAATGTACAACGATACAGTTAAGACAACTCGGCCCGTGCGGGGGCTATACAGGTTCCCGGACGTGCCTGAGACTGGTCGTGTGGGATCAGCGGTTGATGGCGGGCGGATGGTGGTGGTTCGTCTGGCCTACGGGAGATGGCAGAGGCGCTCCAGGAGGCGGGAGGCGCACGGCGGGCTGCTGCACAGTCAAGGCATCGGGCTGGCAAAGCACCTTTGGCCAGTCTGCACGATCATCTATCCGCCACACAGCAGCTTTTGATGGACGTTGCCGGCTCTGCCGGTGTGTCTTCCTGGCTTACGGCGGAGCCTCGTCTGGCGCACGGCACTGTCTTGAATGCGAGTGACTTCCGTGACGCACTTGCTCTACGGTATGGCCTGCAGCTCCCTGGGATACCGTCCACTTGTGTCTGTGGTCATGCCTCCACGATCGACCATTTGTTAACCTGCCCCGCCGGTGGGTATCCATCTGCCCGGCACGATAATGTGCGTGACATCCTGGCGGAGACGCTTTCCGAAGCTGTTCGCGATGTCGAGACAGAGCCACGTCTGCGGCCGCTGTCTGGCGATGATCTGCCCTATGCCACGGCTAACCGGACTGATGAGGCTCGGCTGGACATTCGTGCCCGGGGCTTCTGGACAAGGCAGCAAGACGCTTATTTTGATGTTAGGGTAACCCACCCTAAGGCGTCTGTGCTGTCTGGTCCAGAAGTCCTTAACCAGCTCAGGGCCCATGAACGGCAAAAGAAGCAGCAGTACGGTGCCAGGGTCACTGATGTCGAGAGAGGCTCGTTCACCCCTCTTGTGTTCGCCACGAATGGGATGGCGGGGCCGGAGTGCTCACGATTCCTGGCGACACTTGCTGGTCGGCTCGCGGAGCGCAACAAAGACATCCGGTACTCAAGCAACGTCAGTGCATTGCGTGTTCGGCTGGCGTTCTGCCTAGTGCGGTGGGCAATAACCTGCTTTCGCGGTTGCCGGTCCTCCTACAAGCGTGGTGTCCGCTCGTCGTTGTTGGTGCAGTGTCGACAGGCTGCCGGCTGAGATCCAGTGTCCATGTGTCAATCTGGACAATATAACAATGGCTCAAAGACCTTAACAATCGATTACTTCTCTTGATATACTAGTACTCTTCTCGGATTGCATTCCCTCTTTCTTTCTCTCTTCCATTACTTGTGTGTTTACCGTGGTATTGTTTTCTGCCCGTAAAAGTGGTTTGGTCAGTAGTAGTAGTAGTAGTAGTAGTAGGTTCTTTTTTCAACCAGATGAGACCAGGCGACGCTTGCGAACACCAGAATTTGATGATACCATCTTTGAATTCATGGTGAGAATAAAGAATTCAAAGATGGCATCATCGAATTAGTCTCCGTGTACTTACTCCGGAAACAAAAACTTCGTGACTTTTTGACATAACTTCAAGGAGTTACTGTGCTCAACAAAAGTGTTCTTTTGGAAGAGAATCACTTCAACACATTCAATCGACATATCTACAATATCTACAGGATCGATCGATTAGTGGGAGTAGAGTCTCAGTCTGGGTCGCCATCGCTCGACTCATCACAGCTGAAACCGTTCCAAGTGGCAGGTCGATCGACGCGATGCCGAATGTCACAGAGAAGCTTCTCCACGTCCCTGGTCGTCTTCGCTTTTATCAGAATGCCTTCTCCAACATCTCGGCGGAGATCATAGTAGCGCTGCAGCGCTGGTACTTATTTCCGCCTCCGCTCTCACTCGAGGATGCCCCGGAACAACAAACACAGGCAACGCCAAATATTTCAAATTTCCTCCGAGGGACATCATAGTCGACTAGCACTTCCCGACTGCCGCGGTCAGATCTCGCCTTCTCCTTTGGGACCAAGGATACATCGTGGAGGCTGCTGGAAAAGGCGAGATCATCCACGTTGAGGTCTGGGCTCTGCAGTGACTAAACGACTTCTATTTTGAACTTGTTCATCTTGCTCTGCTGCGCGAAGTGAATCGTCACATCTCTGCGTTTTGGAGTTTTGACATCTTGCCGACCTGTTCGCATGCAGACAGGCGTTTCGGGGATGGCGAAGATTTCAAAACGCTAGCTGCTATTGCAATTCATTTTCCACTCTTCTTGCGCCTCAGTGCCATTGTCCTGCTCTGTCAAGTTCTGAACTAAAAAATAGCTACGACGAGCAGTGAGCGCAGTGCTTTTCTTCCCATTGAGCCCGGTGGACGAAAAATGAAAAACATGTTCGTTTCGCTTTGTTTGCAGCGTCGACACCCATGCTCTGCGACGACTTTCGGCTCTCCAAAATATGAATCATGCCCTCCTACGATTCCGAAATGTCATGTCAGTGTTTCAGGCTGACAGAACCAGAGAGAGAAAGAGAGAGAGAGAGAGAGAGAGAGAGAGAGAGAGAGAGAGAGAGAGAGAGAGAGAGAGAGAAATAACAGCAGCAAAAAGTAGTGACAAAAAGTCACGAAGTTTTTGTTTCCGGAGGAAGTAAACAAACACTCAGCAATTTATTCCAGGACTCAGGAGCATACATGCAGGCACAACACTCAGCAATTTATTCCAGGACTCATACATGCAGGCACAACGGTCAACTGACTTTGATGCCTGCTTCATCACTACGATATTGGGATTTTGGCAGTTATGATCACCAGCAATCTTGAGTTCAGTATTTGTTGAGAGTTTTAGAAGTCAAAGAGGAATCACCATCAGCAACAGCAGTGGTTGTATCAGCAATGCAACTTACCGCCGGACATTCAGTGTATCAATCAGAACAGTTAAGACCTTGATATCGTCATCGTCATCTTCATCATCTCCGTCTCCATCAGTCTCCACTATTCCATTACAAACTCCACTACGAAGAACAAGAACAACACAATACAGAAAACAATTACATGCAAGGCATATTCCAAAAAAAGCCAAAAAAAGTAATGCAACAGACAAGTGCTCTCGTTCAGGAAACAGTAGATTAGAATGATGGGGGGGGGGACTTACGCATCACCGTCTTCAGAGACATCCTCTACTTCAGCACATATCAACTTCTCTAAATCATCTAGATCACCTACACAGGATGCACACATGCATGCGATACGCAGGCAGTCACATACACAGCCACACATACGCGGCCACACACACACAGCCGCGCATACACATATACACATACACGAACCATCAAACACACATACACAGATACACAAACACACATACACATGCACAAACGCATGTACACAAACACAAAGGTTGGAGAGACACTAAATTGTAAAGTATGTGTACAAGTGCCTCAAAATACTTCACACAAATAGCTTCATATGTATATGTATGTATATGTATATGTATATGTATGAGAAGGTGCAAAATCGCAGCGGTTTGACAGCAAACTGTGTAGACCAAAACCGGTCATCTGTGTGGATTGTTCACTCGAAATATGCTTGTGGAAGGAAGCTGGTATGTTGAAGTCTAATCCGAGGCCAGAGTCGATGGAACTGAGCCACTCCGCTGTGTTGCCCCGTTGCCTCCAAGATGCCCAATTTGTTACAGAGGTGGCTAAAAATAGGATCAGTTTTCGAGTCCACTTCAAGTTCACCCTGAGTTCTAAAATTCTGTAATTGCTATCGCTCCACGATGGCCAGTACAGAGAAATGATAAGCCTTGTGTGTGCTTCCATTAGTTTTCATTGGTGCGCAGTGCTTTATTGGCGAGAGGGGAACTGCTGTTTACCTGCTACAAGAAGCAGTAGCTGCGTGGCAAAAACTGCGGAAAATCAGTGATGGAGATACAGTAAACTGCCCAGATCCGGGCAAGTTGGGACCGAGTACTCCCCAGATCCGGGCAAGTTGGGACCGAGTACTCCCCAGATCCGGGCAAGTTGGGACCGAGTACAGGTCGTCCCCCGTTAATACGAGTCCGGTTAGTACATAAACCCCGTTAGTACATAGGAAATCTCAAGTCCCAGACGAAACGTGGTCACTTCCATACAAATCTTGTCGGTTAGTACATAATTCGTTAGTACATAAACCCCGTTAGTACATAACATTTCTCCGTACCCGCATGCCACCTACCTCAATAGTACATAATTTGTTGGTCTTTTGCCCTTCCAGTGGAGGCACATCGTGTTCTAGTTTCTACTTGTGGACGCAATTAGCTCAGAAATCAGAGAGCACATCACAAACCGACAAAGCTCTTTTTTCCGAGTGACTGTACAGGCGCGGCTGGGCATGTATCATGTCACTAACTGTAGAATCTTCGCTGACTGTGTCCGTTATAACATAATGTTTATGTTATATCGAGGGAATCAAGAATATCTCGCTCCCTAGTCATGGTAGCAAGAAACACTCAGAAAACTTGAGAAAAGTGAAAAATTCTGGTACACAAGCAAGTTATGTACACTTTCGTTTAGTACATAAACCCCGTTAATACATAACATTTGTCAAGTCCCAGAGATTATGTATTAACGAGGGACGACCTGTACTCCCCAGATCCGGGCAAGTTGGGACCGAGTACTCCCCAAAACTATGAATTGCCAGTAACTCGGAACATACGTGCCTACTGCACGCAAGTAAACTTTTTTTCTGCCAATCAATAGTTTTCGGGGCCTTTTTTTGTTGAAATGCCATTTTTTGTGACTCTAACGTTAGATGGGTCAGAAAGGTGTGTATTATATCGGTGGTGGTGTTTGTGTGGGGGGGGGGGGGGGGATCCCGCAAAAGACACTTGGAAAAGGCTCCATCTGCGGCACAGCAAAGAAGATCAGTATCCTCCAATACTCCAACCTCCATAATTGTGCTCTATTAGTGACCGCTTGAGTTTGTAGAGAGCATAAGAAAGATGAAGTACGGTGGTGGTGGTGGAGGTGGTGATGGTGGTGGAGGTGGTGATGGTGGTGGTGGAGGTGGTGCTGGTGGTGGTGCTGCTGATGGTGGAGGTGGTGCTGGTGGTGGTGGTGCTGATGGTGGAGGTGGTGATGGTGGAGGTGGTGGTGATGGTGGAGGTGGTGGTGATGGTGGTGGAGGTGGTGGTGGTGATGGTGGTGATGGTGATGGTGATGGTGGAGGTGGTGATGGTGGTGGTGGTGATGGTGGAAGTGGTGGTGATGGTGATGGTGGTGGTAGTGATGCTTGTGATGGTGGTGGTGGTGGTGACCTTGATCCTCTCAGTTCTCAGTGTTGGCAAGACGGCAATAATAGAGCACAATAGGTGGAGATTGTGGAATTGGAGGATACGCTCAAAGTCTACATGAGAGAAACATTCAACACTGGATAGCATCCAAGGAGGCATGCTAGCTACTAGCCAAGGCACCAGACATATACGTGTTATAACGAGAGAGCTTGGAAGCTCAGAGCCCTACGCAGGGGCGTACGCCGCTCGCCTCCAGGAGTGGTTCCCATGCCAACTGATGAACCAACATTCCACACAATTGAAGTGCTCGTTTTCGTATCCCACGGAGTTTCTGCACATTCTCCTCAGACTGGGTGAAATTAACATCCACAAGCTGCTGGACGATGTCATTGCTACGCATTTTTGATTTTAAAAGACTGAACTTTTCCCCGTTTTATGGATGTTTTGTTCAGCATGACGATTGCATGCAGTCTTGAAAGCTGCCTAAGTAACTAGTTTCGAATCATCTGGAGCAAACATCACACAGGGCAAGCAGAAGCCACTATGGCCCGCCGGTCAAAAGACTACCCAGGGTAACTCCTCTAACAAGGATAGTTGAAAGTGGCGCTGTTTGCCATCCATCTGGACTTGCACAGGAAATGAAATCCTTCGCCTTCGGTGGCGCACAATGATTGTCGATGACGGAAATCTTTTCCGTGTCGGTCAAATTTCGGGGGACTGGATTCCACTGTGGACGTCGACTTTCAGAGTATCCCTTCCAACACACTCCCATGTCACTGAAGTAAATTTTGGATGATCCAGCAGCTTCCAACAACGGTCGCTTCTACAGCTTCGCCGACGATTTCTTCCTCAGCGCTGCTCGTTGCATGCAGCCTGCGCTTGCAAGTCAGGTGCGTCTGCATTCTCATCTATCTCTTGACCTTCGCCACTAACAGTTAGCACTGGCTACACGCTCTGCCTGCTGCTCAAAATAGCTCTGAATAGAGCGCTGGCCCTCTGGATGTCGACGCTTCATTTCTCTTTTCCACAAAGCGAAAGCACCGTCCAAAACACGACGAACTTTGTCAAAACAAACTGCAAAGGAAAATTTGACTCTGAGACCGAGGAATCCGGCGATGTAGAGACTTTGTTGAACCCAGTTCAGTAGACCATCTCACATCTACGGTATGTCCCAGCACCGCTTTCACACCTGGGCTAGCCACCGTCCTCGGACCGTCAGGCGCGGACTCCAGGCGCTAGGCATGCACTGCACAGCTGCATGCACTCGCACTGCATGTGCTGGGCCTGAAATAGCTGGATCAAAAATATTCCGTACCCATATCGAATTTTGTTTACTGGTTCCCGGGCATCCCGGGAACCGCCCTATGTACGCCCCTGCTACGCTATGCTTTTTTGACTAGCTCATCATGCATGTTATTAGAACTGATGGAACTTTATCTTTGGCCCCAACTTCGTTGCGGTCTTATAGTGTTTTACGTCGACCATGACGGCTACAATGCCCACCCATACCACAACGAAGTGATCGGCTACATCACTGTATTGCGAAAAGGTTCCATCTGTTCGAATAACATGATAGATGAGCTAGGCAACAAAGCATAATGTAGGGCCCTGAGCGAAAGAAACAAGCAGCTGCTCCGATAGCACGGCGCAATTTAGGTTCATGTTCAACCTGCGCAAAGCCCAGATTCGAATGCTGATTGACCATGTATTCTTTCAGAAATCTGCAGTCCGACGCGAGTCTCGTGGCTAAGGAAAGTTGTTCTAAGCGTTTTCATATCCATCAAAATCCATCACGAAGTTTTTGTTAACGGAGGAAGTTTCTGTGGACCCTGGCTATCGCCAGACGTTACGGCACTATCGCCCTGCTTGCATTCCCCCGATACACTTCGCATACATATATGCCAGGCCTCTACAGTCTCTCATTTCTTGGTGCTGACCGCTTTAATGCTATACATAATGCTACTATACATACTCAATCTCTTGATGGTACGGTACGGGAAAGATACGGGATAGCGCCAGGCGTGACACAAACAAACAAACGAGAGAGCTTGGAAGCTCAGGGCCCTACGCTATGCTTTTTTGCCTTGATGACCTAGACAAAAAAAGCACAGGAATGCTATAAATTCTTATAAATTTCAACTTTTTTGTTTTTAGACATAACCTGGGATTCGAACCCGCACTATCGCCCTGCATGCATCCCCCGATACACTTCGTATACATACTTATTCTTCCAAGTTGCTTCACGTTATGATCTTGTATTTGAAAGCCCTATTTGAATATGAATTGTGGCCAGCCGTCTTTGATTGTACGGTACGGTACGGGACAGGTACGGTCGAGGGTAATACGACACTGTCTACCGCCTTGAAAACGGCAAACAAAGAATAGGGATGTTATAAATTTTTCAATTCTCCTATTTTTCAGGCATTACCTGGGATTCGAACCCGCACTATCGCCCTACATGCATTCCCCCATACACTTCGCATTCATATTCATTCTTCCAAGTTGCTTCACGTTAGGATCTTGCGTTTGAAAGCCCTATTTGAATATTGCGGCCAGCTGTATGTGGCCAGCTGTGTTTGCTGGTACGGTACGGGACAGATACGGGATAGCGCCAGGCGTGACACAAACAAACAAACACCAAATTAAAGCTGTGTGGACCCTGGCTAGCACCAGACGTTACTGAAGTTACGTCTTCTGCATAGCTACGGGAATAATTATACTTATTGGCCTCAGTAATCGGTCAATAATAGTCATACAGTAGAGTGCCGATTATCCACACCCCTCGGGGCGCAGGGCTGTCTCCAGGGCGTTCGGATGAGGAGTATGTTGGGATAAGGTAACAGTCACACATCCATCTAAAACATGCCTATTCCCTCATATTTTCATCATTCTCATTCGCTTCATCAGTACCACAGGAAGTAGACACATTTCAGCTCCTCTAAATGACACTTTTGGTGATACATTTTGAACATCAACCTGTTGCGGTACATCTTGTGTAGTGGTGTGGTTCACTGGTGCTTCGGGTGAGAAAAATCAACAAACACTTATTTTCGACCCTTCCATTCAACGCAAACAGGCATTTCCGATAATTGATTGTTGGCATGGTTGACGTTGGGATAATCGGCATCCTACTGTACATACTGTACATAAGGCAATAATCATCACATACAATCATATGCAGCACACTCTTCAAACAGACATGTACAGAAGAGCATCCATTTTCACTTCAAACACACAAGCATACACACACATACGAGCTCACACTCGCACAAGAAAGGCACTAGGACACATACCTCCATTGGATACAGCACCAGCTACAGCTCCCGCCATTTTATTGGCGAGAATTGCGTCTTGATTGTCCATAGGAGTTGATGAATGGAACGAGTCAAAGTCAAAACTGGCCAATCCCTGCTCAACTAACCGATTACCAATGTTAACATCGTCCTGTTCCGACGTATCAATCAGGAACACGGACAATACACCGCCATCATCCTAACATGAAGCACATTTGACATTTGTGTAAACAGAAACACATACAAATACAAAGGTCAGTTCAAGCATAGGAGAATACCTGCACCATAATAACCTACACAAGACAAAAAATAAGGCAAAAATATTGTTTTCCACTTTTGGAAAGATCACAAAGCTGCAAGCAACTATGCTGATAGTGTCGGAGAAAATTAGCCAAGGTCCAAATAGAGGAAAGACAACATTGGACATTATCAAGCTTCCAGTTGAAATGCTGAAAAGCACGGTCGATGCTGCAGGGTGCATTTCTCCCAACATTTTTTAAAGAAATAAAAGTGTCCGGAAATATGTTAGAGAAAAGGGTGTAGATTTTTGTAGAGCAGCCGCAGCCAGCAACAACGGTGCCTTAGAGAGAGAGAAAAAAAAGGAAAAGGCTACATTTATGTGTACAACTTACAGTCTGCATGGCCACATTCATGAACAGAATCATGTTTTCTGGTGCTAGCTCCTTCAATCGATCACATGCTGCTGTTGACCAATCCTATAACACACACACGCGCACACACACATACACACACGCACGCACACACACACACACACACGCACACAATGCACAATGTATACGCCCGTCGCAAGAGAAGCACGCAAATCTGCAAAAGCACTTGATGTGCACCCACAGATTTTCTCCTATACAGTAGCAACAATAGCGGATCTGAATCTGAATGAAACAGATCAAGACAGCTGTCTAATCCACATAACTGGCAAAGCCCTGCGAATCGACCCCCAAAATACGCACATACTTTCGGGGCCATCCGGCACTATCGATATTTTTCATGGAACGGAAAAGTTTAGTTGACCCTCACCCATCCAGCTAGAATAGATTGATATTTCAGCCATCAATATTTTTCAAAACAAATCTCCTCGACCAAAGATCGATAATAATGGATGGCCCCTTAGCGTGGATCTATACATCTGTGCTCTGTTCTAGGCAGGAGTAGGTGTTAGAAGATACATACTAAGGGAGCTGCATTGTAATCAGTTGATCAAGATGGCAAACCTAGAGAGAATATTTAGCATTATGTTTCAGTCCATGCACACTGGAGCGTTGTTTCGTAGAGAGTGAGGAGCTGCGTGACCATGCAGCTAGATCGTGGTAAGACGATGGAGAGCAGAAAGCACCAGGCGACAAAATACAACCCATGTCACACACTGCTTTCATTGGCACGTTTGAACTTTCATTACGTGAGACAATATTGATAAAATACACGCTGGTGAGATTGAAAGTGACCTGAGACATAGAACTGATCAAACTTGCAAGATAGCAAGCAAAATGTTGGAGCTGGCGTATAGGCCGTCAAAGCCTGACGTCACAGCTTCTTGACAATGTGCAGCGACCGCGCAAGTGGTGACAAACAAAAGTCGCACGTCGCCAACACATTATGTGTTTCCAGTGGTCACTGTATCATACTATCACTTTGACTGGAGAAATTTTAGCTGGCCATGGCAGAATTTCGCTTGTAGCAGGCTCCAGTAGACACAGGTTAACTGTACACCATTCAAGGATGCACAAACTGATTACAAACTCATTCTCTACTCAGGTTATTTTCATCTACAGTTTGATGGAAAGTTCTGATCATGAGTAGACAGCTGAACCTATTTATTCCCGTAGCTACGCAGAAG